AGGTCAAATTATTATTCACAAACAAGCCCGTTATAACGACCTTTGAATTTGTGAAAAGCTGACTTTTAAAGAGGTCTTTGTTGTATCAACTTTTTCGCCGTAGTTTGCTTCTATTAAAAAAATTGATCGTACGCCGAACACGTTATTTGCTTCTCGAATCATTTGGGAGACATAAACCATATGCAGGTGATGTTGAAATCTTACTAGACAAATAAGGAAAGCGATGATGGAAAAGCTGAGGACATCCCGTTTGCCATACAGTTTAGTTATTAGTTGGTGATTATCGTCTATAGTCAGTAAAACATCCAAATATGAAAGATATGGCAGACGTTGTGTTTTTTACCGAGTGCATTGGGGTATATCGAATCGACATATGAATGAAAGTAACTATTGTTAGTTGATAAAAATCGTCCATATCTCTAAATGTTGAGTAGAAGGTCACAGCAAGTGTTTGCTTCTTCTCGTTAAAAAGTTTTTGAATAAAAAAATCCTATATTTTATAGGAGTATAAAAACAGATGGGCTTAAAAAGGAGGATAGTTAGTGCCAATGTAATAAAACAGATAGTTGAAAGACCTGGTCTCCAAAGACTACATAGATATTATCAATGAGAAACTCCATTTAATATCAACTTCAAAGTACTTGTACGTTGAATAAGACTGAGTTGTTGTTTTTTTTTTGTTTTTTTTTTGTTTTTTTTTTTTTTTTTTTTTTTTTTCGTTTTTATACAAAGGATGTAATTTTTTATACGCCAAAAAGATGTGCAAATTTACAAATTCCATTTTTATTGAGGAAGCAGTTGTCTATGATGCAAAAAACCTGCTCTTCACTTGATCGTGAGGAATTGTTGTATAAAGCGTAGAAGAGTCACATATTCTGATGCTATTTATGTTTGAAAAGTTTTGATACAATGAATTTTCCAAAATATCTTTTCAACTCTTTAAAATCTACATTTGATTTACACTACTTCTAAAATATGTTGTAGAATAATACGTCTGAAATTACTCCTTCACAGCAGTTTATATTTTGGTGAGTAATAATGATAGAGGCTTGGTTAAAAATAAAAAAAAAATTACTAGACCCTGCAATACATCATTGTTTGTAAGGATTGTTATGAAGATTTGGTATATATTACATTAAACTTTTTCACAATTAGGGTAGATGTAGGAGTTTATACTGTAATTCGTGTGTATTAAAATGAAAAGGTTAAGCCTAACTTGATAAATTGCTTTAATTGTTTCTGTTGAAAGTTTTAAATGTAAAACGTAAAGATAACGAACAGTGATCGATCTCCAAAAATCTACAAACAATAAAAATATGTGAAGAGGGCATACAAAACGGACTCCTGGAAATTCCAGAGGTGGGATCAGGTGCCTAAGAGGAGTAAGTATCCCTGTTGACCGGTCACACCCACCGTGAGCCCTATATGTAGATCAGGTAGATGGAACTATCCGTATTCAATTAAGTACAAAAACAAAGACCTAACAATTGGTATGAAACAAGTCAGCCAAAAATTGACCTAATGATAGGTTATATATGCCAACAAGGTCATTATAAGGACCATAAAAATTACGAAATTCCGACTTTAAACGAGGCTGTTGAAATCCCTGTAACATCAACTTATCAGTGAGTTGCCTGTCTCGCTTAAAACATTGATCGTACTCAGAGCGAATAAGTTGGGAGACATAATCACCATAAGCAGGTGATAGTGGAATATTACTACATAAATAAGGAAAGTTGACGATGGAAAAGCTAAAGTCATATTATTTGCCATACAATTTAGTTGTTAAAGGCCTATATCGTCTATAGTCAGTAAAATATCAAAATATGAATAAGACAGACTCTGTGGTGTCTTTTATTTTAAATTCACTGGGATATTTTTTTTTCAGGCAACTAAAGCCTATTCATAGAATTTTTCTCTATATATTTGTACAATAAGTGAATATTTCAATCTCATATATACTTTTGTATAATTTCTTATAATTTAATATTTCATTTTGAAGTGAGTTTAATTGGTTATTTCTAACAATTAATTTTTTGTCTTCATTTAGTCAGAAAGTATATGTTTAGAGACAAAAAATGACCGAGACAGTTCATATTCCTGATGCAAGTAAACATGCTTGAAAAAAGTGCTATTGAACTTTACAATTATTTCTGATGACTTCATGATTATTTATTTTTGCCTTTGAATGTCGTATATCTATGTGTTTGTTATATACTATTCTAGTAACAGTAAGCTTTCTTTCTTTATGCACATGCATGAATTACCTGGTATGCAAATAAATACAATTGTGAACACATTAGGCTATAGTTTCATTTTGGAGTATCAGGACAAAATATCAAATGATATTTTTCTTTTTACAAACATTGCCTAGGTTAAAGAAAATAAAATCGTAAATTTCAAATCATCAATCATTAAATATCCTGAATTTCAAAAGTATATATTAAGCAGCTACTATATAGTAAAACTTACCGGAGACTCCTGTTTATCTATACCGTAAATCAACAATTATTCGCCACAACTTTTATTCACTATTTGTTAATTTGAAATGCATCCTGGACTATTAATATCTTTGCGATATTCAT